TTTATTATTATTTGATAATAACGAAAAACAAGGTGATTGATTGTGTAAGATCAACTTATCATTATCATTTACCGTTTTATTTATTTGTTTTTTGAGTAAAATATTCGTTTGGGATTGTAATTTTTCAAAAAAAAAGGAAATAAATAAATAAAACTGGTTTGAAAGAAGCGTTTATGGAATGATATACTAAATAAACTTCTTCAAACTTACTAGTTTTTAAAAAAGAAAAAAACTGATTTAATTATCACAAAATTCAAATCATTTTTGATAATTCTACGGCTACTTTAATCAAAACCGGTTTTGAGCAATCCGGAATTCAGAACAAGATATGTAACAAATTGTAGCATGAAACCAGTTTAGCAAGATATTTTATGATTACAATGAAATGAGTAACTGAGAAAAGAAAATCTTTTTTCATGCGCTTATGTCTGTGATTGTTTACTAATTGCTTATCATTACTAATCAAACAAATTAGTAATTACTTTTGTCACATCACTATTACTCCTACAAAAGCATTTTGTCAAAATTTTAAAATAAAAGAATGTAAATTAAATCTTAAAAAAAGACAAATTATTTGCTTAAACTTCTTTAATATGTAATGTTTACATTTATTTTTTGATTTTTGCTTTTTTTTTCCTTCACTGTTTTTATTTCTCAAAAATTGTGGAAAATTTTATTAGCAGTTTAATTAATATAGCATAATTTACTGTTGAATTGCTTGAAATTATTCATTCATATCAATATATCATATCATAATTATCACCTATCCACAAAAAATGATGATTTAAATGAATTCTATTGAATTATATATGGTAGATTAAAGTTTTTAATCAATCAAAACAATTCTGTACCACAGAATATTTTATTAATTATAAACAAATAAAAATCATTCGAAGACATTGTAATTTATATAATAATGATCTCATTATTTTAATGAAAAAGAGGTCAAAGATTAAATACGACTATATAATGAATCAAATTAACTTAAACTTAATTCATTATCAATTGATTTATTTAAAAAATAAACTATTCTTTTACTCGTTATTCGAAAAACAAAAAAAAAAGGTGGAAGATTGAGAGGGTGTAATTAATAAACAGAACACAAATGAAAGAAAAAAAAAGCATTTTAATTGAATTTTGAAATGACATCAATTAAATTGTTGAAGATAAAGATAAATGTCAACGATTTAACAGAAGTACATTGATAAGATTGATATCAATACATCCATTCCAATGTACTGTTAATGATAATCGATATATTCAAATCTTTTTTTAAAAACATCCTTTAAATTAATATTCATTTAATTAGCTATTATTAAATAATAAATTGAGCTATGTAATATGTGTTAAGAAATTAAAAATTTCAATGTAAAAATAAAAAGAATTCAATAAAATTCTCAAATTTTGTTACATGGAAAGAAAGGAAAAAAAGTATTTCGATTTTCTATGAGTTAAAAATATTGTCCAGTTTACGCAGAACCGATCTACTGGCCTACTTCATCATCGGTAGTATGATGATGACCCCGATTGTGTCACTTTTGCGAGAGAAGGAATGATGAGATATCCTGAATTATTTAACTATTCATCGAAAGCAGGGTGATGGCGTGACTGTGTTGTTGTTGTTAATTGTTGTTGTTGTTGATTGTTGTTGTTGTTGTTGTCGTTGTTGCTGTTGCTGTTGTTGTTGTTGTTGTTGTTGTTGTTTGTTGTTGTTATTGTTGTTGCTTGAAATAGATATGATAAAAACGGTCTAATCATTTTTTTTCTCCCTCCTTCCCATGATAACGATGATAAAGAAGGAAAAGAAATCATCGTAATCCTTCAAATTCTTCACCTCTCTTCCTATCCTTTCATTCATAAGACGATAATTAATGATAATAATAATATCTCGTCATCGATTTCTTAACAATTCCCTTTCTCAATTAATGATATAAAAATTGATTAACACATATGTTAATAAAAATAAACCAAAAGAGCAAAATTTTTCGTTTTTTTTTTCTCACAAATATATGGCAAAAAATAATTTATTGTTTGTTTGTTTATCATTGCAATAATATTTTGTCAATATTTTTGAAGAATCATTGGAATTTAATTTTCATCCAATATATGAATGAAAATTATAATCAAAAATTTTTTTATCCTTCCATTTCGTTACATTATATATGAATTATTGATTAATTGATTGATTGATGATAACATTTGACTCTTCCGTCAAATTAATACGTGAATAGAATGAACAAATTGAGGCAAATGTTGATATAATTTCCCATCTACCACCTCTCTCTCTCTCTGTCTCCGTGTGTGTATTCTACTGATAGATAAGATCATATGATAATTTCCTCAACGTTTTGTATACTTTGACACCAAAGTTTTTGATGATAATTTAACTGATGACTGCCAATTTCAAATGAATAGATTTAATGAAATGGCGCGCATCATAAATGTCCCATTGATTAGTTTGATAAGATATCGATCATAGACAGATAGATTCATAGAGTCCGATAAAAATGTTGCATATTTTGAGATAATACTATCGATTGAGATAGATCAGTGTTAAGATTTGTTAAGTCTATCAAGTCAACAATTTAAAATTGAAAGGATAAGCTCATTATAAAGTTAGACTTATATGTAGTTTTGCTGATATGAATTAATTCTTCCTTACCTCTAATAATTGATAAGGATGATAAGGGTGTTAATAAGATTAATTCCTCCCTACCTCTAATAATTTGGCGATTATAATAAAATGATCTATGATCAGTTTTTTCAATCAATCTCAGTAAAATCTAAATGGATGACAAGGAACATTAATTAATGACCTGATAGTTGTAATGTTGTACATCAATAACTTAACTACGTAATTTCTCTATGTATATTACATTTTTTAATTAAGAAATTTCCAATTAATGATTTTAATTTTGGATATTAATGACGTGTATAATTTTTAATTAATTTACAGGAGGAAGAAACTTTGAAAATCTTTTTTAATTCCAATTTTCAATAATGGTTGACGTGTAATTAGAATTGTATAACTTAATCAGATATTAAAATAATCACGTAATATGTCTCTGTGCACGTTTACGTGTGTGTATGTACGTTTGTATGTGCATGTATTTGCGTGTGTGTGTGCATTTGTTTGCGTGTGTGCGCGTGTTTGTGCTTGTGTGTGCGTGTGTGTGCATGTGTGTACATATGTGTGCATGTATGTGCATGTGTGTGCATGTGTGTGCATGTGTGTGCATGTGTGTGCGTGTATGTTGTGTATGTGTATTTATATGTGTACAAATACATATATGCGTATGAGAAATGAATTGAAATTACTTAAATGCAAGTTTGAAAGAAAATTGTAAATTCGTTCAAAATTTAATTCCGAAAATTACCTAAAATTTACGATAGCAATTTAATACAGTTTAAAGTAATGTATGTGTGTGTGTGTGTATGTATATGTGTATGTATGTATGTGTGTATATACGTGTGTATGTATGTATATATGTATATGTACGTATGTGTATATATATGCATGTTTGTGCGTATGTATCCATGTATGTATGCGTGTATGTATGTTGCACATTTATGTATATGTGTATGCACGTATATGTGCATGTATGTCGTATGTATGTATTTATGTGTGTATGCATCCATATATGTGTGCATGTGTATGTACGTATGTATGTATGTATGTGTATATATATATCTATGTCAAGATAAAAAAGTCCTGTTGTGTTTGCGAAAGGATTCAAAATGAGAGATCAAGCAAGTACAGATCAAAGCATGTGTGTGTGTGTGTGTCTATATGTGTATGTGTGTGTGTATGTGTGTGTATGTCTGTACGATCAGTTTAGGATTATATTACCGTTGTGATCGGTAGTAACATCCATTGTCATCATCAAATTACCTGATGGATGTATTCACTTCTTTTCTTTACGTTTACTTACGTGACTTACTTATTTCAATTTTTTTTTTCAAGTTAATTTTACGCTATTTATTAATTACTCCATTTTTACATGTACTGTAGTGTTATTGAAATTTAGATATGGGAGATTTATTTGAAAATTAACTTAAAACACATTTCATTAAGTTTTGACCATTAAATTTCACTTGATGTTATTTGTTTAAAAGATGATTATGTTATTCTTTATGTATATATGAAAAAAAGCATTAACTAAAAATTAAATTAGCATTTTTGATCAAAATTGAAATAAATTCGATTAATTTTAATAAATCATTGATTCTTTTATTAATTTGGTTGAAAAATTAGTCAATTGTATTCAAAAATATCAATAGAATTTGAAATTCGAATATTTGAAAAAATGAATTTTCGAGTTAAAATTTGATAATTTTTTATGGAGATGAGATTAAAAGGAATTTAATTTCCGCAACTTTTTTTTCCATCAATCTTTGCAAATTGCATTGCGTATTGTCTTTTTTTTCTCCATGTTTGGTATCATCTTATATCCGGATTCTAAACCAGTAAAGGTTAATGATGATGTAAATGTACATATGCTTGTTTCATAAAAATCTAATTTTTCAAACCGGATGTGAACCGGAGAAAGCATTCGAAATAAGTGTAGGACCAAAATCTTTACCTATATCTTAATGCGGGCGCAAATATTCGTCACGGAAAACCACCTACCTATCTACTTATCTACTTACCTACCTACCTATCTATGTACCTACCTATCTACCTATTTTTACCTGGAAGTTGATCTCTCTGTTTATCAATCTGTCTGTCAGTCCGTCTGTTTACTCTGTTTGCTCTCTTGTTTTAGTGTAATTTACCATAAATATTTTCACATTCCTGTAATATTATTCGATTATTTACAAAATTTATTTCCTATCAAAATCCATCTTTTATAGTTTATTTCCGGTTTGATAATTAGTTTCCGGAAAATTAGAAGAGTGTAAAAATCGGTTGACAAATATTTTATCATTACATGTTTCCTGTAATTGTAATATTAATTTATAATCCTTTAGATATTTATTCAAAGATTCTGTTAATAATTTATTAGTTAATTGCTATTTCATTATTTACGTTTAATTTATGACAACCGTAAATAACTGTGAAACGGTGAATGTCAACTTACCCATAAAGGTTTTGAAAAAAATGATCAAAGTTCAAGGAGTACTTATTTTTTTTCCTTTTTCTCCTTTTTTTTTTTGTTATTCATCCCTTTCAACTTATTTGACGTATTAGAGATTGAAACATATTTGTATTTCTCTGTTGTTTATCAATGCTTACTTATTAATGCTAAAATTTGCTGCGTGAAATATCACGTAATTAACGTGATCATCATTGACATATACATTAGTGGCGCAAGGTAATTTCACTTAAAGTACGCTTCATTATCATTGTATTTCCTTTCTCTTTTGTTTCATTCGGATTTTTTCATCCTTGCGCAATTGTATAATTTGAAATAATCAGTTGAAAAAAAATTCATTTTGAAATAATTTGAAAAAGAAAAAATTTGTATTTTCAGTGGTGTTAACCAATAGCTCAGTCAGACGGAGATTTTTCTCTCTACTGACACAAAGAAGAGAGAAAGAAAATAGAAAGAGGAAGAGGAGAAGCAGAAAGCTCATAATTTTTACTAACAATATTTTTATTTATTTGTAAATAATTGTATATCACTATTCGATCGAGCATTATTCCATACCATCACCATCATCATCACCATCATCATCATCACCATCAAATTTTCAACTTCAATAACGACAATCAAAAAATAGGGAAACAAATTTCGAAATTTCGAGCTAAACTCTATCCAGAAATGTCAACCATTCGTAACATCGGTTATCCGGAGTATGTATTTCATTTCATCTTATTTTCACTTCCATTTATTATTCAAAAAAATTTTTTTAAAGCAAGTTCAATTTAAAATTAAATCTTTTGGAAATTTTTAATTTATTCTTTTGATCGAATTGATATGCAATTAATTTCAATTTGTAAAATCTTTTAATTTGTAAGTAAATTTCGTAGAAAAATGATAACCTTTCTGATATATCAGCTGATATTTCACTAACAGAATTTCCCAGAATTTTTTTTGATTATAAAAAAGTTCTCTATCTTGGTTCTTGGTAGCCAAATATGATCCATAGATAATTTTTTTTTTTTGATTTGCAATTTTCCGAATATATAAGTGACTCATTTCTGTTTTTTTTTTTTTAAAAGTAATTTCTCTTATTGATGGAATTAATACTTCACTGTTATTTGTATGGAATATAAACGAATTGAACTGAAGCAAAATTTATCCGACATTACAAAAATTAATCAACATTATCACAAGTTTATCACATCTCCTTAGACACACATCCTTTTTGTTTCATTTACTTGTAAATTGATAACATATCACTTTTTTTTTATTTTTTTGGATTGATAAGAGGAAGAAAGGAAGGTAAAATCTTTCGATTATCTACTATCATTGTGCTTTTGAGCCATTCATTACATATGTTTTAGAAATGATAAGATAATAAGGAAGGAATTAATTGGTTTTGTTTTTCGTTGCAACTTTTCATAATTTTTTTTTCCTTTACAGGATACCAATTAATTCACATGCATATTTACGTCCACCATCATCATTAAGTTTACCATCAAATAGTGGTGATTCTGGTTTTTTACCATCAAGATATGGTAGCGCAACTGTTTCAACAACCAATAGCCATGCTGGAATTAGGTAATTCCTATATACTTTATTTATTCAAGAATATCAATTGAACGTTTCCATTACATTTCTCATTTCATTTCATTATTATTTTTTCAAATGAAAATGAAAAAAAAATGTTTAAAATGTTAATAAATTAAAAAAATTTAATAAAAGATGATTTTTAAGAGAAATTGTTATTAAATAAAATGGATCAATTAAAATGATGAATTTATAGATAATTTAAATTAATTTTAGTTCAACTTCTGGTAATACATCCATTGGTTCATCACCGATACCAACAGAACAGGATATTGATCAAGTATTACGTAAAGCAGTGGAATTGCTAACGCTTAGAAATGAAGCACTCAAGTAATGATTTACTTGTATATATGATAAATAAATTTTTTTTTGAAATTAATACATATTTCAATGATTTTCATAAGAGATTGCAAAATTACTGATATCAATTATGTATTACCGTATTATTGATGAAATTTTTTGGATAATATTTTAAGTAAAAACACATTTTTTCTTTTCAGTCTGAAACTTCTAGAATCTCTTGTCGAAGTTATGCAATTACTCGTCATATAAGTTTGACATAATCTTCCCTTAAATATATATGTATATATAATAAATGAATATAAGTACTATATGTATTATCAGTTGAAATTATCAATGTAGTTGGACATATTTTAAAATTTAAATTTAGTTTAAAAATTGGCTGGATAAGAAAATGCTCTTTCTTTCACTAATAAGCAGATGTTACGTTTCACTTAGTTGATAATGATAAAACAAGAAAGCAAACCCTTCTGATCAATTTCTATAATGGAAATTAGATTAACTAGGCAATGATATTGATAAACTTGACATTAGGCATTTAGAGATTTTGACACCTTAACACTTGATAATTAAATCGATGAAAATTAAATGAAAGAACTTTAAAAAAGAAAGATTAAATGAAAATTTAAACAGTCATACCAAAAAAGAAAGAGAATTGAAAAGTTTGACTGCAGTAATATTTGCGTAAATATTTTCCTGCTGGGATGAGCAAAAAAAAAATAAATAATCAATGAGAAAAATTGATAAATAAATGGAAAATGAAATATTGGGAATTGAAAGAAATGTGTAAATCAGAAAAAGGAGAAGGTTGATTGGATTTATTGATTGATAATTTATTGTTTTTTTTCCTTTTTTAACTGATTGCGGACTTTTTCTTATCATCATTTCTCACTTAAATGTAACTCTTTCAATCATTTTATCTTTTTTTTTTTTTTTTTTTTTTAAAAGAAGAATTTTGAATGAAACACTTTCTTCTTTCCCCCATTTCACATCATTCATACCTACCATTAATCGCCGTTGGCTTTTGCAATATTCCGAAATAGCAATAGCTTTTCAATACAACTTTAAATTTATCATCTCTTTCTAGTTTTTATCTAAAAACTTTTTTTTTTATTTCTCTTTCTCTCTCCCTCCCTCTTCCAGTTTCCCTCTCTTTAGTATAGTATGAATGTTTTGAAATGGTAGAAATAAATACGAACCGGAATTTCCCACATAATTGAGAAATGGTTATTTCTGGAAGTCTTATCTGAATTAGATAATCATAAAACTATTTAATGACGTCATAAGTAGGTTGTAGTTAAAAGTTCAAACATTCTTGGCATTAATAATTTGATAAAAAGTAAAGTAAGCAGCATAGTAGTAGTAGTAATAGTAGTAGTATAATGACCGTCATTCTTCCGTGCATGACGTACGGTTTATTACGCTTACATGTTTTCTTTTATATATTTTCTATGACGTAAGCTTTACATGTTTTACGTAACTTGCGGATTTTTTTTCGTTGAAATTTTCACATTTTGAAGGATTTATTCTTGGCACATTCAATTTAAAAAAGAGAAGAAAAACTTTTAGTATTAAGTGTTTTTAAAATGTTGCAATTTTTTTCCACAAATCACTTCTGATCATATATTTTGCAGACATGCTGGTGCTTCCACAAAGTTTACCGATGTTCGATATCCTAACGATGTTTCCAATTTTTACGATTTCAATGTGACAAATCCAACAGTAAATGATATTGCATCATATGAAAAGTCAGCAATTAGCATCATTTTAATGAAAGCGCAAATATTATGAATTAGTTTAAAATAAAAAAGACAATCTTATTATTCATTTGCGTATTTCGTTACCTTATTATTCAGATTATCTTACTATTTATTTCTAATTTATTCAAGTACAAAATATACTAACAATAAACGATTAAAGAATGTACTAACAATAAAGATTTTAAGCTTTAGATTATTATTTTAGCATATCATAGGACTGTTCCATCTTTATTGTACTCATTAGGAATTGAAAAGTAAAAAAAAAAAAAGTAGTATTTTTAGGAAAATAAAAAATAACACTATTAAATTTTTAAATAAATTAGACATAGCGAATAATTTTTGCTATAGCATTGCTTTTTTTTTTTTATATATTTTTTATTTCTACGTTGTTTTACGACATTGCAATGTAATTTAGTGTCAAAACGATTATTGTTCTCATTTTTTTTCTTCCTCATTTTAAAATATTTCTAGACAACAAACAAATCATCTACGATCGAAACGTTTACCACCTTGTGCGCGTAAATCACCAAAACCGGATAGTTACAAAACAGTAATAGTTTTTCTTTTCTTCCATTTTCTGGTGAATAAAAGAGGTTTTTTTTTTTTATCAATGTGATATATCCTGTGAGGGATAAATAGGTTACATCTTCTCAACCTTAAAAAAAAAAATTAAGAACAATGAATAAAAAGATTAGTTATTATCTATAAAAAAAGTAAAGAAAAAAAAGTAGGGGTAATAAACGTTGTGTATTAAGCTTCAATTAAGAATTGTTTTAATGACTGCTTATTTTGTGTATTAATCAGAGTTAGAAATATTGCTGTCTTTTTTTTGCCTATATAAATTTTGACATTTGACTTGATGACATAATCTTTCTTTTTTTGTTTTTTGATATTGATGAAGTAATCAAATATGATTGTATAGCAGTAGTGCTAACTTCTCTTATACCTAAATTTTTAACTTCAATTTTATTATTTTATCTGTATTTGTGTTTGTGCTATTTTTTCCCACTATTTCATGTTTTGTCTTTTTTCGAACTATAGGTGATGTGCCAAGCTTGGCTCGAAAGTGGAATATGTAGTTTTGCGGAGAATTGTCGTTTTGCTCATGGTGACGAAGAGTTACGCCCTTGCAAGTATGTATTTACTTCAATTTTGTCATTACTACTAAAATTAGCATTTATCATTATACAATTCTTTCCAAATTCTATCAAATATTTAGCAGATTACCGACAAAAAATCCTAAATATAAGACAAAATTGTGCGACAAATACACAATGGCTGGCCTTTGCCCATATGGTGATCGTTGTTTATTCATTCATCCAGGAGTGTCAAATGCATCAAATCCGTATATACATCCTGATCGGGTATATTGCCAAATTTAATATATTATAATTTATTATTGTTAAAAATATTTAAAGAGATATAAATGATTTTCTGTAATTGATTATTCGAAATTAAACTTACAATTAAAATATATGTTTATAAATTCATTTTTAATTAAGTTGAAATTATCAATTATTAGTTTTAGATTAAAGAAAAAATTTTAGTATTTGAAAATGCAACGTGAACGTGCTCTTCTGACATCTATTAACAGTGTTAATTTGGAAGCTCCTCAGTTATCATTATCAAATCCTATAACTAATCGTCCACCACCATCTTGGCCACTTGAATCACCTGGATTTTTTTCTGCTCATCGTGATCTGGATCAATTGCTTAAATTGCAATATTTTACTGAAAATGTAAAACCATTATCCAAAGATCCAGAAGAAATATTAGGTTAGTAATAATTTCGTAAGAATAATATCATTTCCTATAAGCTGGAATGGATTATGACAAATTTAATCACTATCAGTGGACGAATATAATGAATCCAATTATAATAAATAAAAAAAATTGATTCTAATGAATTTATTTATAATTGTATTTGACTTTTATTAAGTTTAAAAATTACTCAGAAGTTATGCGATTTCATCATTAAATGCATTTTTAAATGACAGAATCATAATTTTTTCTTTTTTTTTTCCCCGCTAGTATTATTGATCTTGTTTAAGCTACGAAAAATTTGGATCACACATTGGTTCTTAGCGATATCACCAATCAGACTATGGTATCGGTCCAAGCGACACCGAATACTATCTTGTCTACTGGTAATTCGAAGATAAGTGTTACAAAACATGATAGCCCAGATTCCGGTATTTCATTTCATGATAACAAAGGATCTGTATTTCGTACAGCTGTCACTCCACAATCCGATACACTGATGTCATCAGATTATCCGTTTCAATTTGCTATTCATGCTGATAATCTTGCACGCTCATTAGCATGCGAGTTTAAAGTCGATTAAAGTGGTTGGAGAGGATAGCGATCGAAATAACTATCTACCATTTACTTGCTAAATAATCTTTCGGGCAAGCTTATTTCATATTTCTCCTCATTATTCATATGCAAACAATTCATTTCGAAATTATACTAATGAAATATAGTTTTAACAATTTATCCAGAATTACAAATTTCAATAACTTTTAAATTTTTATATTAGAATTTTCAAAACGACGATTTACCGTAGGCTTTTTTTCAATTTTTGGTCATATGTTCGTTTTTTTTTTTGTAAACTTGATCTGGTATATGCATATATTATATATTTTCTGATTTTGTAAACAGGTATTACAAAACCGGTGATTTGATTTGAATTGTATCATGTTGAATGACATGAGTATATATATTTGATGATGCTTTGGAAAGCAGGGTTATAATCTTAAATTAATTTAAAGCAATCTATTTCTTTTTCAGCTTTCTTACTTTTAGATAAATGTGTAATGCAAATTATTTGCTACATTTTTGATTATTAAAAGAAATTTATAATGCAAAAAAAAGAAGCTTGCTTTTATTTTTGTAATGATTTGAATCATTTGATATCATATAGTACTATCGTTTTTCGAATAATACTACTCCAGAATTTATTTGATGAATATATTTTTGATTATATATATATATATATATATATATATATATATATATATATATATATATATATATATATATATATATATATATA